ATATATATTATATATATAACATCCATGAGTCTTGTCAGTGCAGTTAACCTTTAATCAGGTTGGAGGTAGGGCATGTTTGACAGCCTGTGGGTAGAAGCTTCTGTTGACTCTATTTTTTGCCTTTATGTTTATTGCCTGCTTTATCCATTCCTGCACCAGTTTCGATGTGTGTTTGGGATCAGTGTCCAGTTGAAACACCCAACTGTGTCCAAGTTTGAACTGTGTAGCTATTGGTCTGAGTGAAATTGAAGAATTTGGAGGTTTTCCTCTTTCTTCATTATTATCAACTGTTCCCAATTGAACAGTCTTGACTATTAGAAGAACTAAATTATATACGGTAAGGGCCACAATTCTGATAAAAAAACAAAATCCTCATATTGTATTGCAAATTAAGAAAAATCTGACAATTTCAAAGATTTGGAAACATTTAAAAACTCACTCTTCACTGGCGTTCAACAGCTTCTAGACTGCAATGAAGTGCTCTCCTGGATAACCGCAGGAAATTATTTGGAAATTCACAAAATAATTACTTCTCATAGGAAACGGTAAGTACAAACCCCACAAACAATTTTTCATTCATTAAATTTGAATTTAATTGCATAATTGCTGTATATCAGGTAAAAATAACAAGCTGGGGTTTAGTAGGAGTGTTCTTAAAGTCTGACTTTCATCTTTTAACACACTGTCACCAAATACAAGGAGCATTCAATAAACACAAATTACAAAGTTTATTTAGTTCACTGCTTTCATTTTATTTCTCATTGATACATATTTTGATATTGAGAAAAAATGTTCACTTGCATTAAATACTACTATTGTTTCATGATACAGACAAAGATAAGTCTTAGTATAGTGTTTATGAAAATACTGTACATGGCACTGGCCCATGTGGTAAGAAAGCATTCAAATACCTCTCTGCATAAGAACAGTGACATTACCCATGAGCATTTAGCCAAAGAAGTTATCTGAAACAATCTGTGCTCCTTGATATGGCTTTGGCAGTTCATCTTCTGTAAAACATAAAGTCTTTGGGTGTGCTTTATTCAGTTGTAACTCTTCTAGAAAATGCATGGCAGAGTGCCTCTTCAGTAGTTTTTTTTTTCAATACCTATTGCTTTGCTTTACTAATTGTGGCCCTTTTAAGTCAGGAGTGTACCTCCACCCTACATATTCCACATGTACAAGGACTGATCCCCCAAGCTCAGTTACTGTGTATACTGTTTAAGACATCACCTGTGGTGTACACACAATGGTTGGCAATACTGCAGTGTAGGTGCAATGTGTGCAGGGCTTTTTACTAACTTGATTTCCATGGAGTCCAGAAAACATGAGTATGGTGGCGGGGTGCGGTTTGTGGCGCAGCGGCAGGGGAGGGATGGGGCAGAGGCCTGACTGGCACTGTTGCCAGTCATCAGCTAATCGTGACCTCCCTTATTTACACAGTAGGATGTTCGGATCGGCAGTGTGAAGCAGAGAGAGAAATCAGAGGGACGCAGACGGAGGAAAGGGCACTGTAAAGTGTGACCACTAAATCACTAATTGTGAGAATAAACAGGGTTTGCACAGTTGAAACTGAGAGACTGGAGTTGTGTGGTGTGTTTCCCGTGACCACTGTGTTACAGTTTGTTCAACTTGCATTGAGTGTTTGTGTCTATTGTTTGTGTAATTGTGATTAGCAGAAGTTTCCACTTGCTGGTAAGAAAAGATGTGAAGACAGGTCTGTCTGTCCAAAGGATTGTACAACCGGCTTTGTTCAAGTCAAATGGAACCTTGATGTTACCGCAGGCTCAAGAGGAAGTGTTAACGATGCACCCACAAGGCTGTGAAGAATGTATCCTAAAGACACCACAGGCTACACCAGCCCAGCCAGTTTCAGAGGACTCAGGTGATGTGAGCTTTGTGTCGCTGGGTTGTGTTTTCGGTCAGCTATCTGCACAGTGGCACATCCGTGGCCTTAGGGGCCTTCTATTTGACCTGCATCCCTTTACCCGCCTCTGTATCGTCCTGCAAAGAGTTTAGGTTGAGTGACCCTCATCATTGTGGTCATCAGGTCTGTATCTTAGCAACATTTATCATCTCCTTTCACAGAGGCTGAGGCTTTAGGCCTGGCCTCTGAGTTTCCAGCCACAGCGTTGCCGAAGGCTCTTGATCAAACAGGGTGGTGTGTTCGTATGACTACATAGTAGTTCAAGCAAAGTTGAAACAGAGAGTTCAATGTGAGACAGGTGGATTCCCTCATCTGCACAGCCCCTGACATTCTCCAGTTTCTACAAGTCCCTGTTAGCTTTGAGGGGACTGATTGCAGCCATGAAAACAACCTTTGCTGGTCGTCATAAACTAGCACCTGTATTGCCTGGTTGCCAAAAGTGCTCGTAGTGTTATGCCGTGCTGTCCTGCCATGGGATTTGGAGGTAATGGTTTTGTGTGCATGCTGGTTGTGGTGTCAGCTGTGAGAACGTCAGACCTTTCAGCACACAGGTAGTGTTGCAGCTGGCTGCCAGATTATGCAGGCGGTGCTTTACACAAAACCTCCATTTCACTTTAAGGCCTTGTTTTCAAGATGTATCTTTTTCAGACTTGTGCTCAGAGATCAGTAGGTGAACTACTCGTTGGTAATAGACCAGACTGCCTGGGAAAACCTGTCACTGGATTGTGGAGGTGACCTACTATTCATTTAAATGGGCAGTCCAGGACCTGCAGAATGCATGTCTTCCCTTTAGGAGTTCTCCCACCTCATGTGCTTTATTGCAGGATGTGTTTCTCACAGAAATCTTTTACCTTTTGGACGAACTTGTCCACTTTTACCAGATTTGACTGCTAAAAGTGACTTAATTGAAAAACACATGCTAGATTCTGTAGCACATGGCTCACATATGGTTGAGAATGATGTTGTTTTTTCACTGTAGCCAAGTGGCTTTCCTTACATTTGCAAGTAGGCATAGTGCTTGGGAGAGGCAGCTAACCTTTGGTAGCATCTTGGATCAAAACCATGAGCATATGCTTATGTGTAGAAGAACTCTACAATCACACTAGTACTCAGCTGCCATTTTGTGCTACATTTGCTTCGTTTCCTAACTGTGTTTGTTACAGAGTCCTCATATACATGGAAAATGGGTGGAGAGAGAGCCTTGATACATAAGAGAACAGTTAGTTACTTTGTAACCTAGGTTCTCTGACTCTGTAGCCAATCAGTGATGTCTCTTAAAGAGTATCCCCATGGAGATCAGACCCCTTACATGTAAAATATGTGGGACTGGGAGACCCTGTAAGTCTCTCTACTTAGAGAGAATTGAGGAAATTGGATCAGCCCTCCATCTTCTCTAAGTACCACCTGGAAGAAAAAAAATAATGTTGTAGCAATATAATATGGTTTTCAAGATAGACTATACCTTTTACCTGTTCTCAGTCAAGTTCATGCAAATCCTCATATGTCCAGGTCACTCCAGCAGCAAAATGTCAGTCTGTTAGCGTTCACACATCTGCTGACATGCATTGCAAAGCAATTACAGATCACATGTCACCTAAATGTTAGAATTTCAAACAGATTACTGTATATATAACATACAGTATATATGTCGATTTCTCTCATCCTTATCTTCAAAATTCAAGACTTACATTCTCTTGTATCATTCAAAAGCCTATCGACCCATGCACTTCCAACAGCTTGCAGGTAAAAAGCACCACAGTTTCTCCTTTTGCTACCCCTTTCCTTTTCCTACCCTCCTACCCTCTATATCCACTCCAAGGAATATCCTTGTGTATTCATAGACGACATAGGACACGCTCACAGCGGGGATGACTTTGAGCATGTTGGGAGAAATTCCTCGATAAAGTCCAGTGATGCCCTCCTGGCTCAAAATGGTTTGAAGCAATGTCAGCATGGAGACTTTAGGGGCTCCCTTCACTGAAGCTGTTGGGAGAGTAAAGAGATGAGCCACATCAAGATAATTTTAACACAAGGGGCACAATATGGTCTTCATCTGATGGAGCTGAACATGTCAATCCTACATATTTCTGAACTTGTTATAAACACTAAGCAAACTCTGTTGAAAGAAAACTGAGCTAAAGACTCTGGAAAAAAGTTAAGAAATATACCTTGGACTAAGATGTTCTTTGTTTCCTTTTTTTGGTCAAGCTACTGTTTAAAAGCCCTGTGGTGGCTCGACATCTTGCTAACAGGCAGTTTATGATTCTGTTTTAAATTTATGTTTTAAATTTATGTCATAAGTACACTGTAACCTGATTTGCATCTCCCTGGAAATCTAATGACATAGATGCATAGATGCAACCTGCGACTATTGTGATTGGCCTTTTCAGTAATGTTAATTTTTCCTATTGGATTTCCAAACAAATGGAAATAATTTGTTTCCCTATGACCAGAACAAATAGAAGGGACACAGGAAAAAGGACCCAACACTTTATTTCTTTCTATTATGGCCGGGGCAACATATAACTGACTAACCCATAAAAACCCCCACGAAAGCATGAATTCTGCTAAAGAATTCGGCCACTTACGTAGGTTGCATCGTAGGCTTTACATAGATTTACAGCAGAAGGCTAAATTAGCCGTAAGACAGTTATTTGACTAAAGTGCACAACCCCTCAGAACCGTAATTGTCAATAACCAAAGCATATGACAATATTTCTTCGAGACAGCATCAGATTATATTGTAGTACTTGTCCATTTCAGCTGTATTAGCACAATAAAAACAGTTGCCCTCATTACTTTATGCGATTATGTGCAGTTGATACTTTGAATGATGCTTTACCATATATATCGCCTGGAGAGTCACATCAAATCTTATAAATATAAAATTCATATATGAAGGAATTTCTTTGCACACCAGCATGTGTTGAAATTCCTCTCACTTGTCACTTATTTGTAACTGTGAGTACAAGCACGCGTATCCTCACCTTGCGCTTGCATTCGGGTACGGATCAGCGCCAAAGGGTAACTTGCCAGTTGTCCACAAGTGCTGGACACGGCACCACATCCAACCAGCACCGTGACCCCTGGGTCCACTAAACCTCTGTTCCTGTTCAGCCAAGAAAACTTCAGAGTCTGTTGAATAAAAGACATGAAAAGAAGGTCAAGACTAAGGAAAACACAGCGGGAGCTGTAGGTTTTCATGTCTCTCTGACCTCGTAGACAGCCAGATCGATGCCAGCGTAAGGGATAATACCCAGCAAGTTAGGTATATAGCCCTTGTAGAAGGCTGCGACGCCTTCTCTCTGTAGGATCTGTTTGGCACAGTCTGCTATTCCTGAGTATTGACCTGTTTTTCTCAGTGTGAGACGGGTCTTTAACACCTGAGGGGAAGAAAGAGAGAAGGAAAAGAAACAGAAGCAGACAAAAGGAGAGAACTTGTTCATTTTCATTAAGTCTATAAAATGTGTTTTCTCAATAATATAAAAATATTCTTTATGTCTGTTACCTCCATTGGATAGATGGCTGTCTGAGCTGTTGCTCCAGCCAAAGAACCGGCAACGAATCTCTCATGTACTTTTAAAATCCTAGATTCATTACTGCCACGCATCATTTTCTTGATCTGTGCAGAAATACACAATTTTTAAGTTAATAATGTGAAATGGTTGTACAATCAGAGAAGAAAGACAAATTATTTTGGCAATTATTGTTAATGTATCGTTAAAAAGTAAACTGAACAATAAGAATAACATGACTGTCAGCTTTTACATCTGTTCCATGCAAGCTTTGCTTTTAAGATGTCACCAAGCACAAAATGTCCAAGAAATTCAAGCCTTGAGTTGTGAAATTTTAAAAAAAGATGACTGGTAGCTATCAGCAGCTTTCCTCAATATTGGATGCTAGAACAACTAAAACACTTGTAGAAAATCTACCTGGTAAAAAAGCAAAAAACAAAAACTGAAGCCCTGGTAATGGAAACAGCAAGGAAAGAGAGTAATAGAATCAAAAAATAGCACAAAGTGAGCCTCAGATTGGGTCAGTGGTGAGCACTCCAGGATTTGGAGGGTTTGTGGTTCTCAGAATTTCTAGTAGATCAGTAGGTAACGGAAGCTGAATGCCTGTTAGTCTAATACTGGAGTCCCATTGTTTTAGATCAGGTGCAACATTTACAGACCAGTAAAGCCACTGCGTAACACCCCGTAAAAACACTTCCTTTCTTTTGAGGCAAAGAAAAAAAATCTTTGCCTTCATAAACAAAAGCAATAATTTTAAATTTAAAATGCAAGAGAATTTCACAAAATCAAATGTTTATTTATTCATATAATTAATGATTAAGGACAGTATAAACAGTATATTTACATCGCAGTTATGAAACAAAATTAGACGTAAAGTTTACATGCAAAACTGGTGCACGAGCGAGGGGAAAGCGTTTATTGTGTATAATAATACACAATGAGGAAGTCAACATTTTGGGTGACATCCTTAATGAGGAAACAACACTGTCATGTTTTAGAATTTAATAAGCATTTTCAGGAAAGCACCTCTCATTAGTTAAATCTTTTTTTTTATTTGTACCACAGAAGGTTAAAAACATTGTGACTTTCTGCAGTCTTGTTGCCATGCAACCAGAATACAGTGAAGGAAATAATAGCCAGAGAAGTCCTGCATCTGTTTCTCACTTCCGCGATATCTCGACCAAACTAGCTGCTGCTGGTTTGGATTCATATTCGATACAGAGAGAATAAATAAGAGAATATGTTTATTTTTCACAATGATCTAAATAGATCATTTAGAACGATTTAAATATTTGGACAAAGGAAAATAATAATAATAAGAGAATGATGAATCACGGTAAAGCCTTGAAAGAGTTAGGAGTGTAAGGTGAAAAATTGAATGTGTGTTCATAGTTTTCTCCACCTGTTCGTAAGCTGCAAACTTGATAGCAGTCTCCGGGGCAATTTTTAGGACATTGATTCCATTTCCCCTCCACAGAGACCAGATTCCTCCCTCTTTCACCATCGTCTGAAAATTGCTTAGCACATTCCCTTTAAAATCAGAGGAGCCGTGTACCTGGCAGAGTAAAGCAAGAAAGTCAATATTAAAGCATCAGAGCTCAAAAAAGACTTTTTATACATAAACAGTAACACATGGATGAATTCAGAGTGATCAGAGAGATAAGGCAGTAAGTGCACCAGTCTGACCTGTCGAAAGACTTTGAGCCTGTCTAAAGGGGCCGTTCCAGTCCGGGATACAGATCCGGCTATGGCTCCAGCCATCAGCTGCCGCCAGACAAACCCAGACTTCTTTTCCTCTTCTGAAAATTCATCTGGGACTGTCAGCTGCTCACCGATGTCCACCATCTACTGAAGCCATGCAGGTCAGAAGATGTATAAAAAAAAAAGTAACAAGGAGTGGGGAATAAAAAAATATTTTGAATTCTTAACAGTGGTGTCAAACACACTGCATACTGTATGATAAATTTTGTTTCCGACTTTACCAATGAGCGTTTCCAATGGCACGCCACTTCCTCCATGTTAGTGATAGGGTTAAACAGGAAGTGGTCCCGCCACTCATTCCAGTTAATGGTCATTGTACCATCCTTATCTATACTGTGGAAACACATATAAATAAATATTAAAAAATAGATAAAAAGGTCATAAAATTCATATAAAGAAAAACACCAGAGACTGTACAACAAAGATGGACACAGCCACAGTGACATCACCCTCTGGTTAGAATGTCTGCAGGGTTCAGACACCTTACGTCTGAAACCACAGTAAGTTCATGTAAATCGATAAAAGTTCATCTTATTATTAACTACTACTACTACTATTAGTAGTTCAGCGGCTGCACTTCCTCTATGTCCTGAGGAAGAATAACCTGGACCAGAACCTGCTGCTGGCATTCTACCGCTCCTCAGTGAAGAGTGTGCTCTAGTACTGCCTGGGTGTTTGGTATGCAGGGGTCACAGCTGAGAACAGGAAGGCTGCGCAGAGGGTAATTAACACTGCCCAAAAAAATCACTGGCTGCCCTCTGCCACCCCTTGAGGCCATCGCCAGCTCCTCCTGTCTCAGGAAAACCAGGCCCATCACAGGTGACCCCTTGCACCCAACCCACCCCCTGTTTGACCTGCTGCCCTCTGGCCAGCGCCTCAGGTCAATCAGGTCTCACACCTCCAGACTCACAAGCAGCTTCCTCCCCTGGGCAATTCAGACTGTCAACAAACACTATACACCCTGCCCACCAATCCTGCCTCCCTAGTCTGAGCCATGGTCGGAGTAACCTTCATCACTATGGACTCTTTTCAGACCAAGTCTTTTCTTTGCACTACTACTGAGCACTTTGCAACTATTTTGTTGTCCAATGTTTCAATCGTTCTCTTATTTTTGTATATTTTTCTCTTGTTTTCTATTTATTCCTGCTGTCTACTATTTATATTTTATCCCAGCAGGACAGTTGGTGTAGAGCACCTACAATTTTGTTGTAAATGTACAATTACAATAAAGGGCTATTCTAATCCATTCTAAAGACTCAGTTTCATTAGTGTGGAGATCTCTTCATATTCACGTTTTCAACTCTCTGAATGTTCTTCAGATCATGTTTTCAATATCCCCTTAAAATAATCCACTGATTCAATCAGTTTAGTTTTTTTTTTAAATATGAGGCTAAAATCAAGGTTTTATGGATAAAAGACAGCTTTTGTAAATACTACAAATCTCCCTCCTCTCCATCACTGGGCCAGAGTGAGGATTGACTCCAGCAAAAATTGACATTATATCTTCCACAAAACTAAATCTCTAGGTTAGAGAGTAACTAACAAACCTGTAACAATGGGTCACTGTGACTGAGGTGATTGAACAGCTTCTAAAGATTCTCCCCAGTTTGGTTATAGAGCATAGTCAGTGGCTTAATATTGAAAGTGTCACGCTGCTCAACCTATTAGAAATGGTGGCAGGTAGTATTTTTGATGATAGACAGGGATCGTAGGAATTATTAATGCAATATGGATTACTGATTGATAACATACCTTAACAAAATCCTGTTGGCATCCTCCAAGCTAATATTCACACCAATGTTGCGAAGACAGACCTGAATCTCTGTTGCATCTATGCGACCTGCAGATATCCACAAGTCACAGGGGTTGAGTGAGAGACGAGTGAGATAATTACAAAAACTATCATGTTGTGATCTGATACAGACCATCGTTGTTATTGTCCAGGCTGCGAAACATGTCTTTAAGCTGCTTTTCATGGCTACGAAGATACTGAGTGAACTCTTCTAAGTCCAGGACTCCATCACGGTTGGTGTCTCCGGCCTCCACGATCTGACAGCAAGGACGTGATGTAAAACAACATTTGGTCAAGAACAAAAAACAGGTCTTTAAACAAGTGTAATTACACAGTGCTGCTTGGTCCTTAAAAGTATACTTTTACTTTTACTTGAAAGTATCCGGACCAAAAATGGACTTTAGCCTGTCTACACATTACTACAAAGACAGTGTGTTTGTAGTTCTCCACAACAGCATAAGGTTGCTTCAGCTTATCAGAGCACACAGAGCTGAGGTGACCTTGACAGCAAAGAAATATCTCCTCACAAAAGTCCAGCAGCCTCTGGGCTTTACATAAACTTTGCAATCTGCTGGGAAAATATGGCTGATAGGTGTTGTGCAGTCAAGGAAATATGTGTTAAATGAAATGCTTTTCTCCCAAGAAGGATCGGTTCATCTGTTTTAAAAAGTCAAAAAGGCTGTTTTATAAACTAAAACTATTAATCGAACTTTACACATCCAGCTAATAGTTAATTTAAGCTGTGAACAGAATTATTTTTAAGGTATTCACCATACTCGAAGATTTAATGGGCCACTTCAATGTTTATTTCTATTAGTGTAGCTTGCATGATTCACAGTTTACATTTTTTTTCCATTAGAAGCACATGTAAAGGGTCCAAAAGACGTACACTGAGAATCCCAGCTGCACAAAAACAGCCAAGCAATGACGCGATCAAGACCATTCGGATTTTCCAATATTTCCAGTGTTTGTTAACTTCACTGTCTACTAATATCTCTCGAAAACAATAGTCTCTTATGTGTTCACTGTAAGAGCTGTATGACTTACAGTGAACACATTTATGTATGCTGACTTTACCATGACGTTATCATTTGAAATTTTGGCCATGTGTGTTATGAATGTCCACAAAAGGTTTGGATGACTAGTATGCCACTCTGCAACCCTTACTCTCCTTACAGTTACAGCTACACCCCATTTTTCCAAAACGTTGGTGTCCATCTCTGTTTTATGTAGTGGCTCAAATAACAATAAGAATCCCTGTCTAGTTACCTAAAAAGTAACTCTGTCGCAGAAATATTCTTGGAAAAACAGGGGCCAAAACACACTGAAAGTAGAGAGTGAATTACACAGAAGCAGTGATAAATGTTACAGGAGAAAAAGAAACTGGACAATTATCCATGTGTAGAGAGATCAAGCATATGACAGAGCAAAAGGTTACTAATCTCAGCTTACAAAGTCCTGCTCCTTCGACCAAAATAGCATCCCGCTGCCCTTTACATGTGTGCAAAGCAGACAGACACTCACACATTAAATCTTACCCTAACATAAGCCTCAAACTCTGAAATAAACCATATTATGCTTGCAGCCCTCTTAATTCACAAAGAGGAGCAAGGCTCAGCTTACAGTTTTCACACAGTCCAGGCGAGAGAAGAAGCAGAACTAGAAGAACTGATGAGTTCTCTTGGTGACCCAGACACTTTTTACCAAAACAAACACTCAAAGAGAGAAGAGAGACACCGTGTGTGCTTTCTCAATACAAATCCATGCTGTTTTTGTTCTCTGCTGCTGCTGCTGCTGCATAAATAGTAAGGATGCAGATAAGATGGAACTAGAAGGTAAAGGGAGAAGGGCAGAGATTTTGCCTTTCCTGGTTGTTTAATGTAAAGAGAAGAGGAAAGATGAACGGGTGCTATTCTTAATGAATAGAAAGTGTGCAGGAAGGTGAAATTTAGACACAGTTTCTCCTTCCCACAAAAAACCCATGCATAAGCAGGTTAAACCACTGAGTTAAACAATGACCTTCCAACAGTAGAGCAACAAGTAATGGCAAAAAAGCACTGAAAAGCTGAATTACTGAGGTTTTATCTGAAACCAGCATCTGGTTTAAAAATCTTTCTTTACAACTAAACTGACTTGATGTGACCTTTAATGTGAAGTGGCTGCTGGTACTACAGAGTGCCCTCTACTTATGTTTGCCATTTACAGAGACCAGCCCTCATGAGTCCTCTAATGCACCTTGACTTCAATATACAAAAATGGCAAATGGCAAAGCCCAAAAGTAGAAGCCTGCTGGAGGATTTTGGTGGATATATTCTCTCTCGAGTGTGATCTGCTGTAGAGACAGTAGGCCACCTGGGGACCAAAGTTATCATCTAAAACTAAAATTAGATGTGGAAAAACCAAAGAAATAACAAAAGCATAATTGCAGGCTTACAAAACTATCTAAAATAAAAGAAATACAAAGCTGAAATGTCTTCACTTTCATTCTTATCTACTTGTTTAAAATCTTCGCTATAACCACCCTGAAGAAATGTATTGCACACTCAGTCATAAAGGTAAGGAAAATTGAGTTCCCAGAACGTTGATCCTGTTTACCTGGACATTGCATTTCTCAACGTCCGGGTAAACAGAATCAACTTTCTGGGAACTCAACTTTCCTTTTTCCAGGATTCAGCTGGGTGGAAATGTGTAATGAGACTGGGAAGACAATAGGACTCTCCCACTGTGCTAGGAACCATTTTGAGCTTAAATTATGCTTCAGCGGGAAATCTGCTTCATAATTTATGATGTAACTGGAAACTCCTTTTAACCCTACGGTGTAACATTCCACGTAATCTGATGTGCACCTCCCAAGAAATGTAGCTACATTTAGGGTCAACGCAGCTCGCAAAGACTGAATGACGTGGAAGGTTGAAGTGTAGAGTCGTTTATCAAAATGGCCCACTATTTGTCTGCATGTTAGGTAACAAGATTTTTAAAGAGCATAGAGCAGATAAGGAATGATTTATTGACTGTTTAATGGTAAAACTGTGTCAGATGGTAAATGGACTGGTTCTTATATAGTGCTTTTCTGTTTTATCTGAGCACTCAAAGCACTTTAGACAACTTGCACATTCACACAAGCACTTTTTTCTAAGCGCTTACTATCTAACATTCACAGAAATTCATACTCCCATGGATGCATCGAAGAGCAACATGGGGTTAACGTCTTGCTCAAGGATAGTTGGCTTGCAAACTGGAGCAGACTGGGATCAAACCGCAAACCTTCCAGTTAGTAGGTGACCTGCTCTACCACCTGAGCTACAGCCACCCAGACGGCTAGCTCCTAAAGACCAAAACAGTCTGATCACTGACATTGGGAGGTGTCTAATGTGAACTGGCAAATATCTGTAGAAAATGAACCCATTTGTAATGCACAGTATCACTGTATGCTGCTGTATTACCTTCTCTACTGAGCCTTTGGAAAGCCCCTGGTCTGCCAGCCCTCTCCGCAGTTCAAGGATGTCAATGTGTCCATCTTTGTTGATGTCCAGCTGTTCAAAGAGTTCAGCCCAGCGCTGCTCCCGCTCCTCGTCTGGACTAGAGGATTCACTCTCCTGGCAGTGCACCCAGGGGAACCAAGTCCGCTGGGGTCCCATGACTGGTCACCAGTCAGAGTTAGCTGATAAGATACAGGGGCACCAGTTCAGTATCCACAGCCTGACACAGAACAGTATGTCTGTTTATCTGTGAATACCTCAAACTTTCATTTGTACAACAAACTATTCAGTTATCAAAATTAAGTTTTGTTAATGAGAGCATTGCAACCCATTAGGGTCAGTAAACTGAAGCTTATGGGCTGCAAAGAAAGAGACCAAAAACAATCGAGAAAATTATTAAAACTGACTGCAAACAGTTGTTATCTGGTTGGCGGGTTTAGCAGAGGCAGCAAATGTAATATTAAGCAGAAACAGGGGCACAGCGCAGGACCCTGGACCCCAATCATAACCAGTCTCTGTGGGCCCCCTTCCTTTCTTGATCTGTATCTTTCAGTGTAGCTAATAATTAACTGTTCATATTCTGCATTTGATTAAAAAAAATAAAAAACAAAACTATGACATGTCCAATAGTCTGCCCACCTTAAAATCTCCCCATGTTTGGATCCTCATCTCATAACATACTGTAGCCTGTATAAGCCTCTTAACCTTCTTACAGCCTAACACTGTTTTCAGCCTGTTTAGTGCTAAGGTACATTAGAGGTCTACCCAGATCACCGAGACACACTAGAAGTTGTAACAATGTGAGTATCCTGATAATTGTGAAAGTTTAAATAAGTCTCCCAGCTTCCGCTAAGGAGCTCTTTTGGAAGAAAGCGAAAATAGCTTGTGTGGGGCCAGTGACTGTAATAAAGGGGGACCTCATGTCCTTGCAGTGATTGGTCTGTTGAATAGACGTGGTAGTGGTGGAGCTTCTGTGATTAGTCACACCAGAGGGCGTTTCCACATAGTGAGAAATAACTACAATTACAGTCCTTTGGTTGTGTAGGCTGAATAACAGAATAATGAAATCCATTCAATTTAATGATATATGTGATAAAATAATATATAACAGCCACTTTCTGTTGGTATTTATTTCACGTTTAAAGTAGAAGTTAAATATATCATATAAGGAAGTCTACTGTTTTTGCAGATATATATCGGGTGGTTTTGGAACATATGACAATCTTTGTGGGTGTACAAAGAGGTGCTGGTGTACAGCAAACAGCAAAAGCTGAATAAACGCACCCATAAAAGTGTCTACATAATTTTCTTTTATAAATAAGAAGCAGCGTCACTGTGGTATTTTAAAAATGCTGTTTCATCAGCCTGAAAATCTCACTGTCTAATTGCTGAGAGTCACTGGTCCAGCATATCATGAAGACACTTGGCATTAGTGTGGCTAAGCTTTCAGTTGAAACTATTCTGGATAGAAATGATTGTTTGGAATAACTCTGAGTTGCCGTGATGTGACCTCAGTTTGTGTTACATTTTGCAGATCATTTGGAGAGGGGCCTGGGGCTGCTTCACTCACTCTGACTGTTTCTGAAATGAAAGGCCATGTGTTTCATACTGTTGGTTGTAAGTTGTACTGGGTCATTTTGGTAGATGTCACATCTGAAACTGGCTCACTGTCTTTAACAATTGCTAAACCATTCTAAGCCTGTTATCTGTGCTCTGCTAACCTTTGTTAACAGCTGACTCCCCTCACTTTGCCTTCCCTCCTTTGTTGATTCATGCCATTAGCTGTCACTTAGATACAATAAATTAGTGGTGTAAAAGCGAGGCCGAGGAGGTCAGCTTCATTTGTATAAGGTGAATGTAGCACCTCTACACCTCTAGTAGAGCCTCCACTATTTTTGTGAAATCAAAATTCAGTCACCAAGCTGATGCATTCAGGCAATTTAACTATGACTAATTTACTTACGGATGAAACACAGCAAAGAAAAAACAAACATTTCATTCCAAGCTAGAAAAGGCTCCTCCTGCCACCAAAGAGCTTTAACCCAAAACTAGATGCCCCTGAGCAGAGATAACATGAGGAGGAAGCTTCAGATGTAAACTCACTATTTTGCAGTTTTAAACCTCAAATTTATTTTTTATTTTTTTGTGTGTGTGTGTGTGCATTGTATCTGTTGATAACAGGCAGCCATCACAGTTTTGTTTACAAAGCCTTGATGATAGGTAGAGATTACATCTGGCAGGGTTAAACTGGGTGTACTGTAGCTGTTACATAGTGTTCCTGTTATAAAACACCACTTGAAATGAATAGAGTTGAACGCTATTATTCATAGTGGATGTGTAGTCGATTCAGAGTGTGTATTGTAGTTGAGTTTGCAGAACAGGACGTAGTGTGAGTTGTGTAAGGCGCTGTTACTGTGACCACCCTGTTAATCTGATAGGCTACGATTAGCCTATTTTGAAAAATGAATGCAAGCAGCAGGGCATGTGGGCATCGAGTGGAACGTTTACTAAATTTGTAACCTAATACTGATGTGTTCGAACACTCTCCAGTAACTGAGTTACTGGTTATTACCGGTAAACTGGGAATGCCATGAAATACCGCGGCTCACACGTTCATCCACATACACAACAGCATTTTATCCTTTAAATACATGACAACCCCTTTCACTTGATCCTCACAGCGTTACGCACGCTGTTACGGTCTAATTATAACATCTACGAGACCATTTTGAGGCGCACTCACAGTGTGTTTATCTGCAGACCGACTCGCCGCCCATGCTCGGGCGGATGCGGAGGATCAGGACGCAGGAGAAACCGGCAGGTCCGCTCAGTCCTAAAACAGCACTGGAAACCACACAAGCGGGCTCCCCTTGGCTTCAGCGGGTCTCCGTGTTCTGCGGCGCTTGGCGCTGCGTCTTGCAGATTTCTCAGACACTCTTGTTGAGGAAGCAGGAAGCGACAGAAACACGCAGTCGTCCTCCTGCTGCTGCTGCTGCTGAAGTCTTCTGGTGGAGAAGTGTCCGATCCGTGTGTGTCCGCAGTGTACTCACAGTGTGAAGCCGGCAATTTATTTTGCGTCAATAAAAAGAATTATTAATTGTTTACGACAAGGACTTCTCACATGACATCAGCTAGAGCCCCTGGGCCAGATTCTAAATAAATACTAAGATCATCAGTCCATGGTTCCCTAATGCTTATAATAGGCTAATACATTTAGGTCCATAAGTATTTGGACAGTGACAGTGTTCTTAGTTTTGCCTCTGTTCACCACCACAGTGGCCTTTCAAACAGCCATACTGTAATTAAAGTACAAATTCCTTATATTTAAAGTTATGTTAATTTGTCCCTTTACTATTGAGCAATATGATTAAAAATGGCGGCACTTCCTAAACAGTTAATGCAGTACTTTTGTGAAATCCCTTGACTTAAAGCTGAAAGCCTGCACAGAATTGTATATCACTGAAAAACATTCTGCTAAATGAGCTTCTTCACCTTCAATGTACTTTGCGAACGGTTTTTAAAGGCTGGACACTTTCGTGCATGCTGGATTTTAACTATACTAGTTTGACTTTTTAAAAATACTTTGAGTATTCACGTGCATAACCACTCTCTGTTTATTTTAACACAGTATATTACCTAAAATTATTCAAGGTATTTCAACAATTCCGCTGTTGGGCACAAGGTGTCCCCTTCTTCGTTATTTTCAGTGTGTTTGGAGGTTTCAAGTTTCCAAATCACACGTGACTGGCTTCCACACTAGTTATGTCACAAAGTTCCTGCTCCTTCCCTGCAGCTCTTGAAGATGAGCACGGAGATTTTATAACCTATCACAGCTGGCAAAAGCATAAGGTCGAAGGAAAAAAAGGAATCACTAACATGTAGAGAGGATATTCGTGCATGTTCAAGTCATTAATTTAAACAGTGAAGATAACCGAATGCACTGATATGTATTCATAAATGATATTTCTCTCCAGGTGAGACAGGAACATCAATGAACAAGAACACAGCTGGGGATCTTTCTGAGTATCTCAGATAATTTGGGATTTTCCTCACAGCGTCTAATGAAACACCAGTATTTAAAAATTAGTTGACTCATGTGTGCAAATGTTTAACCAACCAGTGTCATCTTTTCATTCAGGAGGAGCACGACATAATCTGCAGGCCTCCCATACGTCACATTATTCAAACAATGGAAGTTATGATTCAACAGAAGCGTTTTTGTCTCTATGTGTCTCTGATTTGATTTTTACAAATTTACAGTAATATGGAGTCGATCAGAATTTGGCACAAAGTTTTAGCTCTCTTTTTAACATTATTTGCAGTGAGATACAGATGAGCACTGTCTGCAGAGAGCCACATAAGAGGGTTATAAAACAGCCAACTAACAAATTAGAAATGGAGAAGAAAAGCTGAACCTTATTTAATGATTTTGCGAGATGTTCCTCTAATTTTGTCCACCAGCTTGTCCATCATCATCTCCGGCCTGCAGATCTCAGACATTCTCCAGCGATGAGTGGTTGTGCCTGTCCACCTGCTCCTCCCTCATCACTTTATTCTTCTGTGATATAACTCTGTAGCCCACTCTGTGTTTCGTTTATGACACACTTTTAAGATGACAGGTGTACCCTGACCACTCATGTACACTCACACATGTGATTTTCCTACTATTATATTATATATTGACTGTGTTTGTATCTCTTGTTGACAGGACTACATGGCCTTTGAGCACGTATACAGCCTCTCATTCAACGGTTTTAATCTCTATTCACTTCCCATCTCCACACCTGCTGTTCTAATCGAAGCAGATTGACAGATCAGATAGCACACGGGCGGACTGCTGTATATAAGAGCAGCACGCTTTAGTCCAGGAGACTGGCTCGGAATAATTCTTCAAATACAGCTCGGTTAATTTTCCCTTTGCAGATCATTTAATACTAGCAGCTTCAATGTGTAGGGGGCTCTCCTACCTGCCTTCCTCATGTCTGGAGAAGTACGTGTTTATTTTTGATATTATGTTTTACATTAATAAATGAAACCCTGAGATTGTTTTACATCTTCTTTTGTCTGTGTTTCAGGGCAAAAGAGATGCGGGTGAAGCTAAGCCACCTGGCTGAGACCCACCACAAGAACAAGTAAGTTCACTGAAACCCGTATTTTGAATAAGGAGTAAATCAGAGGAGCTGAAGCTACATTTCTGACTCCCTGTGCCCCTTTTATCAGGACTCAGGACGGAAGAATTCTGCAAGACTTGGAAACTCTGCTGAACAGCAAAAGTAAGATTCACTTTATTTTGCTTCTGAAGTCAGTCACCACTTTAATATTCAAACATGAAAAACAGCTCAATGTTACTGGAGGGTGAGGAGATTTGACCTTTTTCTGGTTAATTCTAGCACATCTTTACTGAGAAAGGTTAATCAGTCGTTTGCACAGGCAGCAAAGTGCTTTTATTTTGTACATAAGAACGCACACTGATATTTCAGCTAAAAATCTGAAGACATTAGGCATTATTATCACTAACATATAGTGTTCTTCCTTTTTAAAAATGTGACATGGTAATGTTTATTCAGGGTGCATCCTAACTGAACTGCTTTTTACTTTTTACTGAGTTAATTCTTATAATTAATTAATTGTAAAGTAAAAGTACCTTTACTTTTATACATCTATATCTCCTGTATTCTTAATACTCTAGATAGATGGTGAAAACCATCATATTACTGTTAGCTAATTTATTTTTTAGTGTTGCTAATGCTAACTTACTATTTAAAACAGTATGTATCAAAGGAAAGGCAGTCAGCTGTGTTTGACAACTGCATATTTTGTACTATTTAAGCCTCAATAAGGAGAATTAAGGTGAAATAACTGTTACGGATTCAAATATTGGGGATGGATACAAGAGGAAAAACCACAATAACCACACTGGTCCGGCCGGGTTGAGTCAAACGATGATTTTAATGATCACACGCGTGGGAGATGGACACCGTACGCAGACAGCATCAGATCTCAAAATGGTGGAGCATTGATCAAACTCTTATAGCCTCTAGTGGCCCCCACCTAATCATAAAAGCCTAAACATTCACATGCTTTCTCTCACACGGCGCCTAAGCTATGACCTTGGCTCCCTGTTTATCTGCTCCTGCTGAGATGGGGCAGAAAACTCCAGCATGTTCCGTTCTCTTCTAATCAGACAAATAAGGCGATGACTTTCTGCAAACAGTATTTCTTATAACTCAGCAGTATAATGCATCATAAAACAATATTATTCATTCACAATAAATCAGCAGTCTAATGTAATGCAAATCAGTTTAACAAATGCAATAGTTATCACCTTCTTCTAATTCAGGAGAATAATGCAAACTAAAACTACATAATAATTCACAATCTTTAATTAAGGGTCTAACATGGCATAAAATAATATTATAATCTCACATAACTTAATGTTAATTCCAGTGGCACAGTTTATCATAGGAACTGTGTAAAAATGGCTTTTAGAACAGTATTTTTGAATTTTTGTAACCAAGTAAAAACATGAAAAGCTCAGATGTTTAGCTGAAATTTGTGTCAAACCTGAACCGTTCTTCTAGCTCTTCTTTCCTTCTTCCTCTCAGGTGGTTTGCAGGCCTTTCGGGCGTTCCTGCGCTCCGAGTTCAGTGAGGAGAACCTTCAGTTCTGGCTGGCTTGCGAGGATTACAGGGTTTCCCCTTCAAACCTGCAGAAGAACAAGGCCTGCAGCATCTACAGCCAGTTTATCAACCCTGACGCTCCACTGGAGGTTGGTAGAGAGGAGCACACATCACTAAACAGCAAATGATGAAGAACAAAACTTATTTAAATAACTTTTCCCTCGTTAGGTAAACCTGGATGCTGAGACCCGGGAGGCTCTGCTGAGTGTGATGGACTCTCCATGTCCCAACACATTCAACAAAGCACAGCAGAGGATCTACAGTCTGATGGCCAAGGACTCCTTCCCTCGTTTCCTGCGCTCACATCACTGCATGGAGGCCGTTAAGGCTTTTTAAACATGCTCAGATTAGTACTAGACCTGCTTTAGAAATAAGTGCTGGTGAATCTGTACTGCTTCAATTGTTGATTGTATTTTAGCAATTAATCTAACATATATGATCATGTTAACCATAAGGTAGTGCTGTCCTTATATGCACAGTATACTATCAGTAAGCTTTAAGTCTGACGTTGTAACCTCATAATTATCAAACTTAAATGTAGATGTTGCACCTCTGCATGGCTACAAATTAAATCCAGCAAAAGGATTTAAATAAATACCTCATAACAGAGAACTCTTGTACCTTCTCTGCGGTCTTCCTCAGCATCCTTTGTCCATCCCTCCTCTGCACACGTCCAAACCATTTCAGTCTTGCCTGTCTAACTTTGTCTCCAATCACTACAACGCATGTGCTTACGTTAGAAAAGCACCAGTAAACTTGCAACCATGTCCGATCATGCAGCTATTGTCAGCATGGCTGGAGTCTGACTGAGCCGAGGCATTTAAAAATGATTTTGCTGCTTTTATTTAACCTGTTTATATTTTCACTGTGATTTGGAAAAGGGTGTGGGGACCTGCCAATCATATTTAAAGTTGTCAGCGTGAGCAGGGCAGATTCTGTTATCCTTGTAAAATTCTTATACTCCTTACAAAGCATGGACCAAGTACCATCAAAGGAAAGAAAACAAGTGACACCCAAAAAATGTTCATATTTA